TCCTCCCTCAGACCCAGGAGTCCAGCCCCCAGCCCCTCCTCCCTCAGACCCAGGAGTCCAGGCCCCAGGCCCTCCTCCCTCAGACCCAGGAGTCCAGACCCCCAGCCCCTTCCTCCCTCAGACCCAGGAGTCCAGACCCCCAGCCCCTCCTCCCTCAGACCCCGGAGTCCAGACCCCCAGCCCTTCCTCCCTCAGATCCAGGAGTCCAGGCCCCCAGCCCCTCCTCCCTCAGACCCCGGAGTCCAGGTCCCAGTCCCTCCTCCCTCAGACCCAGGAGTCCAGGTCCCAGTCCCTCCTCCCTCAGACCCAGGAGTCCAGGCCCCCAGTCCCTCCTCCCTCAGACCCAGGAGTCCAGGTCCCCAGTACCTCCTCCCTCAGACCCAGGAGTCCAGGCCCTCAGTCCCTCCTCCCTCAGACCCAGGAGTCCAGGCCCCCAGCCCCTCCTCCCTCAGACCCAAGAGGCCTCAGACTCACACTGAATCCTTCTATGAGACAGTTTTCTCCACTTGCCCATGAAGAAATGAGCCCAGGCCCAGTCAGATCTGCATCTGTGTCACAGCCCAGAGCCACTGTAACTTTCGGCTACTGACCTCCCCCTCTGAGCCTCTGTTTTCTCCTCTGTCCATGGGGCAAGGGGTCTGCTCCTTCCCTCAAACCCCAACCCAGGTAGGGTCAAGCACAGGAAATACTTGTGGCATGAATGTGATGAGGACACAGAATTGCAGAAGCCAAAGAAAGAGAAGTATAAGGGCCCTCCTTCCACCCCTACCTCCCCCACCCTGCTGCTTCACACACCAGGACCACCTGCTGGGTAGCCAGGAGCTCACAGCCTCGCCCCGCTGGCCACCCCTGCAGCCCCCTCCTTCATTCAGGCAGTTTCATGGCCCGGAACACCCCTCATCCTCTAGGATTTGACACTGGCTGTCAAACTCGTCCTTCAAAGTGATTCCTGGCCTGCCCTCCTCCTCGAGGCAGCCTGACCTGACCCTCAGCAGCCTCTCCCGGCCGTGGCAGAGCCCTTCGTGTCCTCCCTTGCACCACGCACGGGAAGAAAGGCCATCATCCTCGCCATTGCTAACACCGGCCTTGCGTTTCCTCTTTACCAGGTACTGTATTGACAACTCTCTACAACCTCACTTCATCCTCCTAATAAGCTGGGCGCGGTGGCTCATGCCTGTCATCCCAGCACTTTGGGAGGTTGAAGCAGGAGGATCACTTGAGAGGCGGAGGTTGCAGTGAGCCAAGACTATGGCACTGCACTCCAGCCTGGGCAATAGAGGCAGACTCCATCTCAAAAAAAAAAGAAAAGAAAAAAGAAAGAAAGAAAAGAAAAAAAGAAAAAGAAAAAAATTCTTCCAACATTGTTATTCCCATTTTACAGTTGAAGGACTGAGGCACAGAGAGGTTAAGTAATTTGCCCAGGGTCACACAGCTAGAAAAGAGCAGGATCCCAAGGTGGCAGCATAGGGTAGCATCAAAGGATGCAAAGGTCTAAACTGTATGGCATGGGTTCAACCGTCTCCTCCATGTACTTGTTGTGGGGCTGTGAATACATTACTTAGCTTGTTTGTGCCTTTGTTTCTTCATCTGTAAAATGGGGATAAGAGGACCCATTCCATAGGATATGGTGAGGATTATGCACACACACACACACACGCACGCACACATTTATGATGTACTGAGAAGAAGATATAAGCACACAATAAGTATCTCCAAAATTATGCAGTGGCAAAGCCAGGATTCAGACCCACACCTGCCCAAGGCTCTCTGCCGTCAGACCACACTATATCTCTTTCTCTCTGTTCCTTCATTCCCATCAATCCAAGGCAAAAAACATGCCTTCTCTGATTTCCAGCCTCACTCAGCATAGACTGTGGAGGCAACATATCTTGAATGAAGCAATGAAGCAATAATGCACATGAATGCACCAAATGCCAAAAGCTCATTCACTCAACAAGTATCTCTCCAGCACGTCCTGTGTGCTAGACCCAATTCCGTGTGCTGCAGATTAAGTAGGGGACTGACCACACAAAAATCTTTGCCCTTGTGAAGCTTGCATTTTTTTTTTTTTTTTTGGATGGAATCTTGCTCTGTCACCCAGGCTGGAGTGCAGTGACATGATCATCTCGGCTCACTGCAACCTCCACCTCCCAGGTTTAAGTGACTCTCCTGCCTTGGTCTCCCAAGAAGCTGGGATAACAGGTGTGCACCACCAACTCTGGCTAATTGTTTGTATTTTTAGTAGAAATGGGGTTTTATCATGTTGGTGACGTAGTATGATCTCAGGTGACTGCAACATCCACCTCCTGGGTTCAAGCAATTTTCTTGTCTCAGCCCCCCAAGAAGCTGGGATTACAGGTGTGCATCACCACCTCCGGCTAATTTTTGTATTTTTAGTGGAGACAGGGTTTCACCATGTTGGCCAGGTTGGTCTCGAACTCCCAACCTCGAGTGATCCACCCACCTCAGCCTCCCAAAGTGCTGGGATTAAAGGCATGTGCCACCGTGCCCGGCCTGTGAAGCTTGAATTCTAACAGAGGAGACACAGACAAAATGAACCAGGAATACAATGGGTAAGAAGGTGAAAAGTGCTCCACACAAAAATAAAGTAGGGAGAGAGGAAAGAGACTAAAAAGAAGTTGGGTTGCCAGGCACGGTGGCTCATGCCTGTAATCTCAGCACTTTGGGAGGCCGAGACAGGTAGATCATGAGGTCAAGAGATCGAGACCATCCTGGTGAAACCCCATCTCTGCTAAAAATACAAAATTAGCCGGGCATGGTAGTGCGCACCTGTAGTCTCAGCTACTCAGGAGGCTGAGGCAGAAGAATGGCTTGAACCCCGGAGGCGGAGGTTGTGGTGAGCTGAGATCACACCACTGCACTACAGCGTGGCCAACAAGAGCGAAACTCTGTCTCAAAAAGAAAAAAAAACAAAAACAAAAGTCAGGTAAGGGATGCTGCCATTTGAAACAGGGTGGTCACCCAGTCCTGAGAAGGTGACATTCAGGCAAAGACCGAAGGAGGCAAGGAAGTGAGGCATGAGGGTATCTGGCAGAAGAGCATTCCAGGCAGAGAGAACAGCAAGTGCAAAGCCCTGAAGGCAGAACTGGGTCTCGGTGTTCCAAGAGCAGCAAGGAGGCCGGTGTGCTGACACACAGAAGGAAGAGATGAGATCAGAATCACATCCCTTAAGGCCTTGCAAGATGTCAGCTTTTATACACAGAGAAATAGGGAGCCGTAGAAGATTCTAAACAGGAATGACATGAGCCGACTTCGGTTTCTACAGCATCCCTGAACGGAGACTGGACTTCGCAGGGAGTGGGGAGACTAGTTAGAAGGCTACTGCAATGGTCCAGGTGCGAGGCAGCGGTGGCAGGAACCAGGTGGGAATCACTGATCATGCAAAAGGCTAAGAATGGGCAGGTCCGTCCCGTGCCCTGCTCTCTGCTCTCTGCAATCTGGGTGTTGGAGTCTGACAGTCTCATCACCCACTCACTGCATAGGTAATCTCGGGCAAGTAGTTTTTTGTTTTTTTTGGGGGGGGGTTTGTTTTGTTTTTTGAGACAGCGTCTCACTCTGTTGCCCAGGCTGGAGTGCAATGGCATGATCTCGGCTCACTGCAACCTCCGCCTCCCGGGTTCAAGTGATTCTCCTGCCTCAGCCTCCTGAGTAGCTGGGACTACAGGCACCCACCACCACACCCGGCTAATTTTTGTATTTTTAGTAGAGACGAGGTTTCACCATACTGGCCAGGCTGGTCTCGAACTCCTGACCTTGTAAGCTGCCCGCCTTGGCCTCCCAAAGTGCTGGGATTACAGGCGTGAGCCACCGTGCCCAGTCTGTTTTGTCTGTTTGTTTGTTTTTGAGACGGAGTCTTGCTCTGTCGCCCAGGCTGGAGTGCAGTGGCGAGATCTCAGCTCAGTGCAAGCTCCGCCTCCTGGGTTCATGCCATTCTCCTGCCTCAGCCTCCCGAGTAGCTGGGACTACAGGTGCCTGTCACCTCACCCAGCTCATTTTTTTTTTGTATTTTTAGTAGAGACAAGGTTTCACCACGGTCTTGATCTCCTGACCTCATGATCTGCCCGCCTCCCAGTGCTGGGATTACAGGCGTGAGCTACCACGCTTGGCTCTGTTTTTTGAGGTGGACCTTGCTCTGTTGCCCAGGCTGGAGTGCAGTGGTGCGATTATCGGCTCACCGCAACCTCCGCCTCCCAGATTCAAGTGATTTTCCTGCCTCAGCCTCCTGAATAGCTGGGATTACAAGCGCCCGCCACCACGGCCGGCTAATTTTTGTGTTTTTAGTAGAGGTGGGGTTTCGTCATGTTGTCTGGGCTGGTCTCGAACTCCTGGCCTCAAGTGATCCGCCTGCCTCCACCTCCCAAAGTGCTGAGATTACAGGCGTAAGCCACCGCGCCCGGCCTGTTTTTTTGTTTTTTGAGATGGAGCGTGGCTTTGTTACCCAGACTGGAGTGCAATGGTACAATATTGGCTCATTGCAACCTCCACCTCCGGGGTTCAAGTGATTCTCCGGCCTCAGCCTCCTCACTAGCTGGGATTACAGGTGCCCACCACCACGGCTGGCTAATTTTTGTGTTTCTTTTTTTTTTTTTTGAGACAGAGTCTCGCTCTGTCACCCAGGCTGGAGTGTGGTGGCCGGATCTCAGCTCACTGCAAGCTCCGCCTCCCAGGTTCACGCCATTCTCCTGCCTCAGCCTCCCGAGTAGCTGGGACTACAGGCGCCCGCCACCTCGCCCGGCTAGTTTTTTTTTGTATTTTTTAGTAGAGACGGGGTTTCACCGTGTTAGCCAGGATGGTCTCGATCTCCTGACCTCGTGATCCAACCGTCTCGGCCTCCCAAAGTGCTGGGATTACAGGCTTGAGCCACCGCACCCGGCCTAATTTTTGTGTTTCTATCAGAGATGGGGTTTTGCCATGTTGGCCGGGCCAGTCTCGAACTCCTGACCTCAGATGATCCACCCGCCTCGGCCTCCCAAAGTGCTAGGATTACAGCACCCACGCAAGTTTCTTAACCCTTCTCTGCTTCGTTTTCTCATGTGTAAGACTAAGACAGCCTCCCACCGAGACACACTTCCCTCACGTGGCTCTGGGGAGAAATACTGTGGAAAGTTTTGCTAGTAACCTCTACGGCATGGAGGGAGTTCTCAAAAAGCGATTTTAGAAAGGTGTTTATGCCTGGGAAGCCTGTTCATTTTTGTGATATCCTTGGAGCTGGGCCAGGCACTTATCGAGCTAAATCTAATTTTTGTCAGAATGGCAGGGGGAAGTCATGGAGGAAAATTTCCAAAGGAAGGGGTAACGGGATGGGTGGGGGGTGGTGTTGAGGGCATAGGCAGAGGCAGTGACCACGGACAGGAGGTGTCCACAGAACGGGGACTGCCACTGGCCCTGGAGACAGAAGGTCAGCCCCGGGTTCAAATTCTCCCTTAGCCAAGTGCTGAAATGGACTAGTTGTTGAACCTCGTTCGGCTTCCTCATCTGTCAAGCAGAAATCAAACCTCGAACTTCCTCCCGTTGTTAGAATTTCAAGGGAGTTTTAAAGACAGAGCTTTCAGCTCTGACCTGTGAACAAGTGTGACATCAAATTTACTGTTCGTTGTTATTATTCTGTTGTTACGAGGCAGAGAGTTAGTTTCCCGGCTCCCCTGCAGTCAGCCCCTCCTGGATCTGTCTGCCAGCCCCGCCCCTGGGTCACTCCAGCCAGGCTGTGCCAGGTGAACGCTCAGGTATGCAGAGGCGGAGGCAGGACGGCCCTGGGAGGGAGCAGGAGGAGGGGCCGGCAGCCTGGAACGGAAAGGACAGTGGAGAGCAGGGCAGAGCCTGAGCAGGCAGGTGAGGAGATCCGGGTTCAGAGAGAAGGAGGCCGGGATTTGACCAATGGGTCTGAGGGAGAAGGGGACTGGGGTCTGGACTCCTGGGTCTGAGGGAGGAGGGACTGGGGTCTGGACTCCTGGGTCTGAGGGAGGAGGGACTGGGGGCCTGGACTCCTGGGTCTGAGTGAGGAGGGGCTGGGGGTCTGGACTCCTGGGTCTGAGTGAGGAGGGACTGGGGGCCTGGACTCCTGGGTCTGGGGAGGAGGGGCTGGGGCCTGGATGCCTGCGTTGAGGGAGGAGGCTGGGGTAGGAATTAGAGGCTCCTACTGGCCAGGCCCTCACATCTTTGCTGGCTCCCAGGGCACCTCCAGGTGGGCAGGAGCTCCCACTCAGCACCATGAGCACCGCTACCGGGTAAGTGTCCCTGGTCCCCAGGCCCCAGGCCCCAGCCCCAGCCCCAGCACACCTCCCGCCTCCCCTCGCCTCCCGCCTCCCCTCGCCTCCTCACCCACACCCGCAGATCCTGTTTCTGGCAGCCCAGACTCTGGCCCAAGCCCGGACACTCAGGAGGAAGCCAGAGCCACTCTCCTCCCTGCCCAGCCTGGGGTTACGGGCCCCCACTGTAGAGCAGACAGGCCTGAGCTCCAGCTCGGCCCTCACACTCCGTGCTGATGTAACCCCGGTCAAAGGACATCACCTCTTGGAGCCTCAGCCCCTCCTCTGTGACACAGGGACAATTTTGAAACATTGGTGGGATAGTGCATTACAGGACTTAGCCGGCCACCTCACTGGCAGCCGGTGCTCAGCTCATAGGAGCCTCTGTTGGGATTGTTATCTTGTTAGTAAATAGTAACCCTTTGCTAGAAAATCAGGACTGTTCATAATGAAGACTCAAGTCTCCTAGAGTAAGCAGGGAGAAAAACAATGAGCGATGAGTCAAAATACCTGCATGGTAGGTAGTGAGTTCTCTGGCCCAGAGGTAAGCAAATTGGTGACATCAGACTGGCAGGAGCGGGATGAGGAACAGGAGTTTGGGAAAAAGGGTTTATCAGTTCCCCTGACGCCACCTGATCTCTGAGCTTCTGTTATGCGCGTGGAAGTGGGGATCCAAGAATTCTTAGGAAAGGTAACCTTAGGAAGAAATCGAGGACAAGAGGAGACAGAGAGGGATGCGGCTGGGAAGCGCCTGGCCCATGGGGGTGGGAGGGGAAACAGATAATTCCCTGTCTACTTCAGATACTACTAATGCTATTGTAACAATCCCCATTTATTGAGCAACTTCTGTGTGCTAAGCCCTGGCAGCATCTTAAGAATGATAATAACAGTTATTGAGGCTTCAAAATACTTCACCTGCATCATCTGACTGAATTTGCCCAACAGCCCTACCAGATAGTTACTATGTTACAGAAAGAAACCGAGGCAGGAGAGATTAAGTCTTCTCAAGATCTTATGGCAAGGAGGCAGTAGACAGAGAATTTGAATCCAGGACTATGCCATGGTCGAGACCACGCTCCCCCTACCACCCAGCACCACCGCCTGACCTGTCTTCTTTTTTTTCGAGATGGGGTCTCGCTGTTGCCAGGCTGGAGTGCAGTGGCGCGATCTCAGCTCACTGCAACCTCCGCCTCCCAGGTTCAAGTGATTCTCCTGCCTCAGCCTCTCACGTAGCTGGGACTACAGGCACCTGCCACCACACCCAGCTAATTTTTGTATTTTTAGTAGAGATGGGGTTTCACCATGTTAGCCAGGATGGTCTCGATCTCCTGACCTCGTGATCCGCCCGTCTCGGCCTCCCAAAGTGCTGGGATTACAGGCTTGAGCCACCGCGCCCGGCCTCGATCTCTTGACTTTGTGATCCGCCCATCTCTGCCTCCCGAAGTGCTGGGATTACAGGCGTGAGCTACCCGGCCTACCTGTCTTCTTAAAGTCCAGCTCTGGCTCTGAGCTCTCCTGCTCAATAATAGTAAAAATAATAATAATAACCCTTCCATGGCTCCCCATTACCTTCATAATGAAGCCCTTGCTGCCCTGCTTGGCATTTCTGCAGGGTCCGCCCCCAATTCCACAGTCTCACTCATCCCTCTTTTCTTCACCAGCCCAGAAGCTGCCCCAAAGCCAAGTGCCAAGTCTATCTATGGTGAGTAGGAGGCAAGGGAGCCCCAGGCCCATAGAACTGGGTCTAAAGAAACAGGACCTGGAATCCAGGGTCTTGGAGGAGGAGAGGCTGGGCCTGGACTCCTGAGTCTGAAGGAGGGCCTGGGGGCTCTGGACTCCTGGGTCTGAGGAAGGTGGGGCTGGGGGCTCTGGACTCCTGGGTCTGAGGGAGGAGGGGCTGGGGGCTCTGGACTCCTGGGTCTGAGGGAGGAGGGGCTGGGGGCTCTGGACTCCTGGGTCTGAGGGAGGAGGGGCTGGGGGCTCTGGACTCCTGGGTCTGAGGAAGGTGGGGCTGGGGGCCTGGACTCCTGGGTCTGAAGGAGGAGGGCCTGGGGGCTCTGGACTCCTGGGTCTGAGGAAGGTGGGGCTGGGGGCTCTGGACTCCTGGGTCTGAGGAAGGTGGGGCTGGGGGCTCTGGACTCCTGGGTCTGAGGGAGGAGGGGCTGGGGTCTGGACTCCCAGGCTCATTTTCTTTCTCCCCTGGCAGAGCAGAGGAAGCGTTACTCCACAGTGGTTATGGCCGATGTATCCCAGTACCCAGTCAATGTGAGTCTGGGATCTATGTTCCCCAGGACATCTTCTAGGGCAAAGGTGGCCTCAGGAGATAGGGCTTTGGAAAGCAGCTGGGCCCCCAAGCAGGAAGCATGTGGAAAGCCAGTTTGCCCATCCGTAAAACGGACCTCCGTTGCCTCACCTCAGTCATGGATATGAAGTCAGGGACCTCGGGTCCACTCAAATCTGCCAGCCTTTTCTCCGGGCTAGCTGTTGTGCTGGACAGTGGGACCATGGGGACAAATCAAGACACAGCCCTGCATGAGGAGGGGGTAGACGAGGTCCAGAGGAACCCACGGAGGTGCCTGGTGCTCTAATGGAGGTGGCAGGGGGCACAGCGGGAGACCCGAGGAGGCATTTAGAAGGAGAGAGCTGTAATCCAGACTCCTTCCCTGCCCGCAAGGAGCCTCCAGTCTGTGAGAAGCCAGACTCAGGTGCTAGTCACTCTGAAGAAAGGGAAACAAAGAGCGCTGGGAGGAGGAGCTGATTTGTGGAGCAGGTGATCAAGGAAGGCTTCCTGGAGGAGGTGTGGTTAGTTTCAGGCTGAAAGTCTGATTATTCTGGGGGATTCTGAGCCCACCTGGCATCATCTTGGGCCTCACTGCTGTCTCCCTGGTCCGTACCAGCACCTGGTGACGTTCTGCCTGGGTGAGGACGATGGCGTGCACACCGTGGAGGATGCCTCCAGGAAGCTGGCCGTCATGGATAGCCAGGGCCGAGTCTGGGCACAGGAGATGCTGCTGCGAGTGTCTCCCGACCATGTCACGCTGCTCGACCCGGCCTCCAAGGTGCCAGGGGGCACGTGGGTGGGAGGAGTGTCTGGGGCAGGGACTTCAGGGGGTCTGGGTGTGAATCTTGGCTCCTGCATGTCCTTCCTCTAGGAACTCTGGCGAGGGACCCCAGCCCCCTTCTTGAGCCTTAATAGCCTCATCTATTAAACAGGGGTGTTATCCCTAACTCCCTAACTGCGTGAGGTTGCCCTGACCTGCTGGCCCACACTCCCGTCGCCATTTAGTAGTACCATCATTTCGGGGCCTCAGTTTACCCTGCCATCCCACCCGGCAGGAGGAGCTGGAGTCGTATCCGCTGGGCGCCATCGTGCGTTGTGATGCGGTGATGCCACCCGGCCGGAGCCGCTCGCTGCTGCTGCTCGTGTGCCAGGAACCCGAGCGCGCGCAGCCCGACGTGCACTTCTTCCAGGGCCTGCGCCTTGGGGTGAGCGGACGGCGTTCCGGTTGGCTGTCGGGGCGGAGCCTGGAGCCAGGGCGGAAATGGGTGGGGCCTCTCGGTGGGGCGGGGCCTAGGGCTAAGGCGGGATCACAGCAAGGAAGGGCATGGGACCTGGGAAGGAAGTTCTGAAAGGAAGTGGGGTTTGAGGAGACTGGACCCAGGGTCAAGATAGCACATGAGGGTGGGATGAGGACATGAACAGAACATGGGCAAGTAGGGCCTGGGGGAGCAGCCAGGACGAGGATGCGGGCGAGAAACCACCTGGACTGGGTCTCCATGGGCGGGGTCGTGGTTTGGGGCAGGGACAGGTGTAGGGCGAGGGGTGAGTCCAGAGTGTGGACGTGCATGGGTCCATAGGCGTGAACGATGGCCGCACGTGGGCTGGGACGGAGCAGAAAAATCGGCCAGGGGCGTGGCCCGGGTAGGAAGGGGGTGCGGCGTGGGGAGGCGTGGCCTGATGTGTGATTGGCAGGCGGAGCTGATCCGAGAGGACATCCAGGGGGCTCTGCACAATTACCGCTCGGGCCGCGGGGAGCGCAGGGCGGCGGCGCTCAGGTGAGAGGGAAGAAGTTGGCGGGGTCTCTGGGAAGCCGGTTTCCCCTCCCTGTGCCTCAGTCTACAACACCAGACTGGAACAGAGCAAGTTTTGCATGGAGTCAAGCACAACCTAGTCGAGTCTTGTCTGTACCTCCTAGACGAGCTGACTCCTTCCCAGAACTCTTACTTCTTTTCCCTGTTCCTGTCCAGGCCCTCAGTTTCACTCTAGAGAGGTGCTACCCCTCCCCATATCGGATTTCTCCCTACCTCGTTGAACTTGTTTACTCCCTTTGAGCCTCAGTGTGTCTCGTTCTGCGCCCCGGATTTCCCCCTCCATGGACCCCTCAGTGGACCCAGCCTTGGTGTCCCCGTCGCCCTCTGCAGGGCCACGCAGGAGGAGTTGCAGCGCGACCGCTCGCCCGCCGCTGAGACCCCGCCCCTGCAGCGCCGTCCGTCCGTCCGCGCAGTGATCAGCACCGTGGAGCGGGGCGCAGGCCGCGGGCGACCCCAGGCGAAGCCCATTCCCGAGGCAGAGGAGGAGCAGAGGCTTGCGCCCGCGGGGACCTCGAGCAGCGCTGACCCGGCCTCCCCGGACCTGGGTCCCCGGGGTCCTGACCTGGCGGTTCTGCAGGCGGAGCGGGAAGTGGTGAGCCGCGCGGGAAAGGGGCTGGGGGCGGGGCCAGATGGCTGGAGGCGGGGCTGGGGCGTGGAAGGGCGGGGTCAGCTGCGGGATGGGAGTTCTCCGTCAATCTGGTCAGACTTCGGTGTTATGGAGGAGGGGCTGGGGCTGGGGCGGGGCTTGGTTGTAGGGCGTGGCCAGGTGTTTGGGGCGGGGCCTGTCTGGGGACGTGTCTAGGTGCTCAGGTTCAGGGCTTCGACGGGGATGGTTTTGGAACTCGGGAGCCCTGAGCTTCCCCCTGCTCTGTCCCCCAGGACATCCTGAACCACGTGTTCGACGACGTAGAGAGCTTCGTATCGAGGCTGCAGAAGTCGGCGGAGGCGGCCAGGGTGCTGGAGCATCGGGAACGCGGCCGCAGGACCCGGCGCCGAGCGGCTGGGGGTAAGGGCACCCCCGCGTGGGATCTGAACCCCCCTCCCGATCACTTCCAGATGCCCCCCCTCTCCCCAGGGTCTCCCCTCCCGCCACTTACCAGGGCTGACCTCACAGCCATCTTAACCGGGTGTCCACCTCTCTCTCTGCCTGCCTGGTGCTGGCCCCGCGTCCCCATCGCCGCGCCCGTCGGCCCCCGCAGAGGGCCTGCTGACGCTGCGGGCCAAGCCGCCCTCGGAGGCCGAGTACACCGACGTGCTGCAGAAGATCAAGTACGCCTTCAGCCTGCTGGTGAGGACGCGTCCGCCCCTGGGCCGGGGCGCGGGCACTGCGAAGCTGCCCCGTCCCCGCACCCACGACAACCACCTCCCTCCCCACGCCCCAGGCCCGGCTGCGCGGCAACATCGCCGACCCCTCCTCCCCGGAGCTGCTGCACTTCCTTTTCGGGCCTCTGCAGATGGTGAGACCCGCCCCCGGTCCTCGGGCCCCCCTGCGGCGGGAGGAATCGGTTCGACTTGCAGACGGTGTGACGGCACGGCCTGCCCCCTCCCGCTCCCCTGACAGATTGTGAACACGTCGGGGGGGCCCGAGTTCGCGAGCGGCGTGCGGCGGCCGCACCTGACGTCGGATGCCGTGGCGCTGCTGCGGGACAACGTCACTCCACGTGAAAACGAGCTCTGGACCTCGCTGGGGGACTCGTGGACCCGCCCCGGGTGAGGGGCGGGACTGGGAGGCGGGGGGCGTGGTGATTGGAGGAGCTTAAGGGCTGGGAGATGAGTGGCATGATGATTGGAAAATGAGACTAGGAGGAAAGGGAAAGGTTGGAGGCGTGGCTTCGTTGTGTTGGGGCGGGGCTTAGGACAGATGCCAAGATTCAATTGGCGGAAAGGCCAGAAATTAATATGAAGGAAAGATTTAAGACCAGCAGACCAATCAGATTGAAAGAAAAGGTGGGGCTTAAAGGAATAGAGGGGCTACGGGGCAGGAGCGGGGCTACGCGAAGGGGCGGGGCTTCTGGAAAGTTTGGTCTATAACTTTGGCGATGGGACAGAGTCTGTGCACTGGGGGCTGGGAGTTTCGTAGGGAAAGGGTCAGAACCTGAAACCGAGCTTAAGGAAAACCTGATTTGGAATCAGAGGTGAAATTTAGAGGCTAGATAAGGCAATTTTTTTTCCAGAGAGAGAGAGAGAGATGGATGGGCGTGGGGGGCGGGTCTCAATATGTTGCCCAGGCTGGTCTTGAACTCCTGGCCTCAAGCGATCCTTCCATCTTGGCCTCCCAAAATGCTGGGATTACAGGCGTGAGCCACTGCACCCGGCCTAGAACTATAAATTACTGTTGAGTTGGGCTTGGAGGTACCGGCAGGACTTGGTGAAAAGTGGCGGGGCTAGATACAGCGAGCTTTAGGGGAAAACTTAGTGAAGTTAATGACAGAGCTCAGCTGGGGGCTGTACCAGGATCCCTGAGCTCTTGGCCCTGTCCCTGGCTGCAGGCTGGAGCTGCCCCCGGAAGAGGGACCCCCATACAGACCCGAGTTCTTCAGCGGCTGGGAGCCGCCGGTTACTGACCCGCAGGGCCGCGCTTGGGAAGACCCAGTTGAGAAACAGCTACAGCACGAGCGGAGGCGCCGGCAGGTGAGGCTGAGGCTTTCAGGGGAGCAGCCAGCTCCCCCAAGCGACACAGCCGGGCCGAGGCTGGGAAGTCCGGGGTGGGGGTGCGGCCGGTCCGCCTGGCCCCGCCGGTCCGCCTGGCCCCGCCTGACCCGACTCTCTTACTTCCTGCAGCAAAGCGCCCCCCAGGTCGCTGTCAATGGGTGAGTGTCCGCCCCAGGGCAGGGCAAGGGGGTCCAGGAGGGGTGCTTCCCGGGGGCTCCCGGTGTTGACTCCGCCCCCTTTTTTTCTGTGTTTTTCCTTCTGTCTTCCTGGCTCTTTTCAGGTGGGTGAGATGGTGAAGGGGCGGGCCGGGGCCGGGAGAGAGGGAGGAGCAGGGAGGGAGGGGGCGGGATCCAGACTTCTGGGGCCAAGGGAGGAGGGAATGGAGACCCGGGTTTCCGGGCCTAAGGGAGGAAAGGGGCTGGGAGTGGGTAAAGTCTGAGAGGTTGGATCTCTGGATCCCCAAAAGGCTGGAAGAAGGCAGTTTGGTTTCTCAGGGCCTGGGAAGCACCATGTCTGGGCTCCCTACGAGGACAGAGCCCTGGATATTGGAGGGGAGAGGCTGGGGAATTCGACCTTTGGGTTTTGAAGAAGAGCCCAAGTCTGGTGCTTGGGATCCTGGAGACCCAGAGGAGCAGGCTTGGGACTTCAAGGGCTTGGGGGCAAGTTTCTGGGAAAGTTAGGAAGTGGTAGTATCTCTGGGCCCCGGAGAGGGGTAAAGGCTGGGTGATTAACCTCTTGGTTTTCCAGACGCTCTAATGCAATTGTCTAAGTCACTGCTGGGTGTCGGACTGGGTTAAAAGGTTTAAGGGTTAAAAGGATAAGATTGAAGCTTGAGACCTGGACTCCTAGGTCCCTGGGGAAAAAAAGGACATTCCACGTCAGGTTCTACCAAGCAGTGGGGGTTCAGACTCTGGGTCCTGGGGGAGGAAATGAAGTAGATGGACCAGAACTCTAGGGTCTTTGAGCAAATAGAGGGCAGATTGGAGGGAAACAACATGGGAGGAGACGAAAACAAAGCAGTGAGGCTGGAGGAGACAAAGGGGGGTCTAGGTGAGGGCCTGGGCAGAGGGTCTCAGCAGGGACAGCGTGCTGGGAGCTGCCAGCCCCACACAGGGGGTGCCGCGGCCCTGAAGACCCCCCCTCCCCCCTGCACAGGTAGGCCTGATCCAGGCTGAGGTCCCTCTTATTGGGAGTCAGAGCTGAAATCCCACCCCTGCCCCCAGCTGCCTGATATCGCAACCCCCCTCCCTGTTCACAGCTTCAAGTCACTTTCTCTGAGCCTCAAGTTCTTTGCAGGGAAACTGGGAATGATGGTAATCCCTTCCTGGAACAGTGAGAAGTCTGTGGTGTTGTAGGAACTAGCAGTTCAAGGCTCAAGGCTGTGACCACGTTCAAGTTCAAGTCCAGCTGCCTGCAACGGAGGGCAGCATTATTCAGACATGGACTGCCCTGGTCCCAGGCTGGCGATGCCACCTGTGACCTTTACATCCCTGTGCCTCAGCTTCCTCCTCTGTGAAAATGGAGAAGATAATCGGGTCTCTGGGGGAGGAAGAAACTGGGGGCGGGGAGAGGGGAGTCCAAATTCATGGTTCTACCAACGGTTGTCATGAAGCTCAAATCAACTAATATACATAACAGTGCCTAGCACATAGTAAGTGCTACAGAAGTGGTAGCTATTGTTTGTTTTTTGAGACAGGGTCTCACTCTGTCACCGGGCTGGAGTGCAGTGGTGAGATCTCAGCTCACGGCAGCCTCTGCCTGCCAGATTCAAGCAATTCTCCTGCCTCAGCCTCCAGAGTAGCTGGGACTACAGGCATGCGCCACCACACCCGGCTAATTTGTGTATTTTTCAGTACAGACAGGGTTTCACCATGTTGGCCAGGATGGTCTTGATCTCTTGACCCTGTGATCTGCCCTCCTCGGTCTCCCAGAGCGCTGGGATTACAGGCGTGAGCCACCGTGCCCGGCATAGCTATTGTTTTTATTATGCTCATGAGTTATGATATTTAAGCCCAGTGCCTATTAGATGCTCAATAAATGACAGCTGTTTCTAGCTGTGTGATGTAGGCAAGTGGTTTTATCTCTCTGAGCCTCATTCTCCTCTGTAAAATGGAATCGATGATGGGATAGTACCCACTGCATATGCCTACAGCACAATGCCAAACAACAGAGGGGGCAAAACATATTCAGGCTGTTATTCTCGTTTCAAATTGCTATTAACAGTATTAACCTGGCCCCTGCTGTGCCCCCTGCTTGGCTCTAACCCTAGCTCACACCAGCACCCTGCACCCCAGAGCAATGGGGCTGGCTGCCTCCTTATCTCCAACCCTCCTGCTTCTCCTCAGTCACCAAGACTTGGAGCCAGAATCTGAGCTGGAGTCAGAGACAGCAGGAAAATGGGTCCTGTGTAATTATGACTTCCAGGCCCGCAACAGCAGTGAGCTGTCGGTCAAGCAGCGGGACGTACTGGAGGTTAGAGGAGTGGGAGGCCGAGGGGCAGGAATTAGGCAGCCCTAGCTGCCGATGCAGGCTCTGAACCCTCTGCCTTTTACCGCACGCAGGTCCTGGATGACAGGCGCAAGTGGTGGAAGGTTCGGGACCCAGCGGGGCAGGAGGGATATGTGCCCTATAACATCCTGACACCCCACCCCGGACCCCGGTTGCACCACTGCCAAAGCCCTGCCCGCAGCCTGGTGAGCCGGCGCAGACGCTGGGGTCTTGAGGGAGGAGAGGCTGGGACCAGATACTGGGAACAAGGGGCGTGGGGATCAGCTGTCAAGAGTGCTGGTGCAGGTGGTGACTGGGGGTTCAGAAATGCATCTCCAGAAAGGGGAGAGGCTGGGACTCTGATTCCTCTCCCTAACCCAGGTGCTCGCCTCTCCTTCCTTTCAGAACAGCACTCCTCCTCCGCCACCAGCCCCAGCCCCAGCCCCACCTCCAGCTCTGGCTCGGCCCCGCTGGGACAGCTGCGATAGCCTCAACAGCTTGGACCCCAGCGAGAAGGGTGAGTGGTGGGGACGCCGGCTGTGGGGAGAGGTTCTTATCCTTGCTTTCCAGGCAGGGAAACGGGGGCTCAGAAAGAGCAAATGGACTCCTGCCCCATTCTGGGGAGGCTGGAGCACCCCCCCCCCCGCCCTCTGGCCCCAGGACCCCTCGCCCTGAGCCCCCACTCCCTCCCTCCCGGTTTCCCACCTGCAGAGAAATTCTCCCAGATGCTCATTGTCAACGAGGAACTGCAGGCGCGCCTGGCCCAGGGCCGTTCGGGCCCGAGCCGCGCAGTCCCAGGGCCCCGCGCTCCGGAACCGCAGCTCAGCCCGCAATCGGACGCCTTCGAGGTCCGAGCCTGGCTGGAGGCCAAGGGCTTTAGCTCCGGGTGAGTGGGGCGGGGGCCGGCTCGGCGCGGGTTGATACGCAGGCTGGGAGCGGAGCGTTCCGATCGGCCGGGAGTCGGGGGGCAGCAGTCGTGGAGACCACAGGGAGCCGGGATTAGCCCGAAGTGAGGGTCTGTCTGGTAGCAACATCCAGTGGCAGGCTGTGATTGCCATGTGTTTTCAGACTCCGACTGGATTCCTTAGGGAAATCCCGCACCCTTCGAAAGCATATGACCACGCCCCCCGGGTGGCACATTGTGATTGGTGGGTGGGGTTCAGGGGGTGTGGCCCTGCCCCCCGGAGCTGTTCTGATTGGATCATCGCCGGGTGGGCGTGACATGAGTGACGGGGGCTGGGGCATCCGGCGACCTGCCTGACTGCGCCCCGGCTGCCCTCGCTCAGGACCGTGGACGCGCTGGGAGTGCTGACTGGGGCGCAGCTTTTCTCGCTGCAGAAGGAGGAGCTGCGGGCGGTGAGCCCCGAGGAGGGGGCGCGTGTGTACAGCCAGGTCACCGTGCAGCGCGCCCTGCTGGAGGTGAGCCGGGCCGCTGGTCCCTGGGTCTGGGTGGGGTTGGGACGCCGAGGGCTCGGACACCAGGACAAAGCGATTTCCACCCCGCCCTCCAGGACAAAGAGAAAGTGTCAGAGCTGGAGGCAGTGATGGAGAAGCAAAAGAAGAAGGTGGAAGGCGGGATGGAAACGGAGGTCATTTGACCTGCCCGGCGCCCTTCGCAAAGAGTGACCAGACCCCGTGTGAGAACGGACTCTTCAGACTTCTCAATAGCAGAAGTCGATCTTCTGAAGGACAGCCAATCTGCTCTGGCCCCGGTCTTCCCCCATCCCCGTGGACAGACTGAATAATCCTTGCTGCAGTCCCTCTGGGGCAGATCTGGACTGGCTGTGAGTGGGGAGGGCGTGGAGACAGTCTACGGAAAGCGCTAGCAGACCCCCGAGAGGGTGCAGTAGAGCCCTGAGCATTGTAATATGCCGCCCAGCCTATAAACAGCCTCCTTACTTGGCAGATGGTGTGTCAACTGCTGTCCTCTACCCGGCTACCAGGGGGCCCAGAAACCTTCCCCTTGCCCCAGTCACAGCCTCAAGGAACCTGGAAGATGTTCCACCTTCTTTGGTTTCTCTCTCCGAACCCTCCTTTCCATCCCCCGGGTCCCAAACCAGGCTCCCTCCTGACCTCCTAGCCAGCCAAGTCCAGCCTGCCCCATCTTCGGGTTTCCCTGGCTCGCGGCTCCCTTGGTTCCCTGAGAACCAAGGTTCTCACTTCATTCCTTCCTGCATCCTGGCCCTGCCCTTCTCCAAACTCTCCCAAGCCCCTTCAACCTCTGCGGTTTGCACTTGCTGTCTCTGCTGGCCGAAACAGCCATTCCCCGCCTGGCAAACTCCTCCTCTTCAGCTCACTCACTCACTGTGGCGAAGCCTGCCCTCATCCCCGAAGCTAGTTCCCCACCTCCTGCCATGGCCCTGCCAGGTAGAACTGGCGGCCTCCCCAGCATGCCACAGCTTTCTGGTCACTTTTTGTGGCAGATGGCAGCCAACTGAAAACTTCCTACTCCCTCAAGAACTAGCTCCTTTCCCCTCTGGCAAGCCCTGTAACATTCTTTTCCCCATTATCCAGGTGGCTAGTAAGGTCTGCTTTTCTCTGGATCCCCCCGTTTCCAGACTGGACACTCTGCCTTTGGGAAGAATGGTCCTTTCTCTTTCTTCTGTGGCTCCGCTTCCCCAGATTACTGCGGGCCTATGGGCCTCAAGCCTGTCCCCGAGTTGTTCCAACCTGGGGCACCAGGTGGCGCCCTCCAAGATGGGAAAGGATCAGAGAGATCCTCCTGGGGCAGGCAGGAGTTCTCAGTCCCCACTTTGCCAACTCCTGCCTGGTTCCTTCCGGTTCCTTCCTTCCTCTTTGGATCTCCAAGAGTCCTTCCCCTATCTGCCCCGTCCCTAGATCCTACTCACACACTTCCCTTGGCTCCCTATGGCCCACCAGACAAAACCCAGGCCCCAGCTTGGCAGTCACAGGCTGCCACTTGGCTCACCGGCTTCGACCCCACAGGGCTCAGCTCCCTCCTCCTGCTGCCAGGCTTGGTTCATGTGGTCGCTTCTGCCCAGAATACTCTCAGCCCCTCTACCACTTGCCCGGGGCCCCACCACTCATTCTTAACAGGGGAATCGGAAAGGTAGGCAATTCCCCCAAACCTCCTTGCTCCATTTTCCCCTCCCCAATAAGCCCCCGGGGCTCACACCACCCAGGCTGCAAACTGAAAGGTCTGCAGGAACCCGACAAGAGACCAAGTGAGCCAGCTGGGCCTCAGCCCTACTCCCATCACAGGCCAGCTTGTTTGAACATCCTGGCAGCTGCATCTTCCAATATTCTCAGAACCTGACCATCTCTCACCATCTCTACTCCCGTCACCCCGGCCAGAGCCACCATCTCTCTTGCCGGGATTTTACCAGTAGCCCCTTAGCTGGTCTCCCCAATCCTCACCACCAACCCCCAGTCTGTTCTCCACACAACAGCCAGAGGGACCTGTTAAAACCTAAGTCAGGCCATGGCCATGCTCCAAAAGCCACCCAGGGCTCTCACCTCAAAGCTCAAGCCCTTCCCAGGGCCAAGTCCCCACACAGCCGCCGTGACCTCTCGAACCTAATTCCCTGCTTTCTCCAGCTCCTCAGCTTCCTGCAACACATCAGGTGCATTCCTACCCCAGGGCCTCCACACACACAGCTCTCATCATCCAGAGCACCCTTCCGTCACTACACAGCTCCCTCTCCACCACCTTCAAGCCTCTACCTGTGCCAGCTTTTCCGTGAGGCCTGCCTAGACCACTCTATTCAAAACACATGTGCACACACACGCACCCGCCTTCCCAACCCCTTTCTTTTCTCCAGAGCGCTGCCGCCTTGAAATACATTTATTTTAACATTGGATGCTCCCCTCCTAAAAGTATTGGATCTTTGTTTTGTTCAGTAATTATCAGTCACACTGTACTTACTCAGTCCTGTTCTTCCTGTTGGTGTTACAGTAATTACTGAATGAATGAATGAATGCCTCATCTCAGAAGATGGCTCCTACTCAGCTCTAGTCAACTGTGGCTATGCAGGACTGAAGAGTTCATATTGTCACAGATTCCTGTTTTTTCAAAAGAAGTCAAAATTCCTTTTTTCCCCCCTTTTTGAGATGGAGTCTCACTGTTGCCCAGGCTGAAGTGCAGTGACTCGATCTCGGCTCACTGCAACCTCTGCCTCCCAGGTTCAAGCGATTCTCCTGCCTCAGCCTCCCGAGTAGAGTAGATGGGACTACAGGCGCCTGCCACCACGCCTGGCTAATTTTTGCATTTTTACTAGAGATGGGGTTTCACCATGTTGGCCAGGCTGGTCTTGAACTCCTGACCTCAAACGATCTGCCTGCCTCAGCCTCCCAAAGTGTTGGGATCACAGGCATGAACCACCGCACCCAGCCGGAATTCCAGATTTTTATACACAGATTATTCCAAATGTTAAATGTTGGCAATTGACTAAATCTGTTCCAAAGACACTGATGGCAAAACCCAAGCTCCGCAGCTCCATATCCCTGGCCTGAGGTCTTGCCCGCTGATCCTTCCTGCCCCCATCAACTTCCCCTCAGCCCCCTGCCTGTGATCACGCCGGCTCCGTCTTGGAGCCTTCACTCCCACTGGGGGCTCATCCTGAAGCTCCTCTGCCACACAGGTGAGCAAGCACCAGCCCACCCCTCGGCACCCCACCCAGCGGCCCAGTGGTTTGGTCACAGACATGCACAGCCCCCCAGCACAGAAGCAGGAAACGGCGCCCTCCCTCTGCTTGAACACAGACCTTGAGTGGCAACTTCACGACTTTTATTTGTGGTGCCTGTGCTTTATCTCGAAAATACCTTCTCCCCCTGCCCCAGACAGTGGGCGGGGAGGGGGCAGCAAAAAATAGAAGACGTCCCTCCCTATTGCACATGGACCCTATATACAGGCCCACCTGGCTGAGGCCGGCAGGACTCTCGGCACAGTCTTGGATCCCTGCTCAGGAGGGGGGGTGACGGGGTGGCATCACACGTGAGAGGGGGACCTCCAGGCGGCCACTCTGGTCCTGGCTACTGGTCCTTGCACTTCTTGGTCCTCAGTTCCTTCCTAGTCCCGGCTCTGGCCCTGGTCCCCTCTGGCAACGTCCCCCTACTTGGCTCGGCCTCCCACCTCCATCCTGGCCTCGGGTGGCCCCCTTGGCTCCTGGGGACTCTGCTCCCCTCCCAGTTCGGAGGTCCCAGGGGGGCTATGGCTTCTCTGAGACTTCCCCCGGAGCCCTGTCACTCGTGTTCACACGGGGGAAGGGGTGCGTGTGGCAGAAGCAGCTGTATAAATACGGGTGCGGGAAAGTCCCTCCAGGTCACTTGGAGAGTTTGCTGATAACGCGGATCAACGCTGCATTCTCATCCTTGAGGCGCTGGTTGTCAGCGCGGAGGTCAGACAGGGCCTGGGGGACGGCAAAGGGTCAGCTGGGCAGCCCTGGTGGGTTGCGCCTCCGCCCACCCTCGGCCCTCTGCCCACAGCCCCCACAGCCCCCACCTTCAGTTCTTCCTCCAGCTCTGCGGCCTTGCGTTCCAGGGCCCTGCGCTCCTGGAATGAACAGGGAAAGTTCAGAAACCGAGTGAGGCTGAGGACAGGGGAAGGCCAGGGGCCAGCTGGGAAGGGCAATGTGGCTCTCTTGGTCCAAACTTAGTGATGTGAGACTGGGAACGCCTCTGGCTCCCGTCCCCACTGTCCCTACTCACGAATCTCTCCAGCTCCAGAAGGGCTGGCCTCTCAGCGAAGCGCTCTTGCCTCTGGTGAGGACACGGAAAGCACAGGGGTCAGCAGGGGAAGCCAGCACTGCCCTGAGGAGGGGCCCTACGTTCCTGCTGGGGACCCGCCCGCCCACTGGGCAGCCCACCAGCCCCGCCCCATGGGCCAGGCCCCGCCCCCAGCAGGCCCACAGCCCCACCCCCATTTGCTCAGACCCCGCCTCCGAGATCTCGGCCAGGCCCTCAGGTGGAGCGAAGCCCCATCGGCCCCTCCAGGCCAGGCTCTGCCTCCCAACAGTCTGAGCCCCACCCAGGCGGCCCTGCCAGTTCTGGTGACCCTGGCCTCGGCGCCTTTACCTGCGTGGCCCGCTCCAGCTCCACCTTGAGCTGCGCCAGCCGCAGCGTGGTCTCGGTCAGAGCCTCGCGAAGCCGCTCGTTCTCCCTGCGCAGCTCTGCATACAGCTGGGGGTCGGGTGGAGGAGGGTCAGGCGGAGGAGGGTCAGGTGGAGGGCAGGGGCGACGCTGGGGGCGGGGAAGCCAGGAGGTGGGCACCCGGCAGGCGGAGCCCCAAAGGAGGGGTGGGATCACACCTTCCTAAAGCCTCCGTCCTGCTCCTCCGACTCTGGCTCAGGTTCTGGGTGGAGGTCCCGCTGTGACCGCTGCCTGCGGGCCGAGGGGCCGCCCTCCAGGGTGCTGGGGCGGGGGCGGAACGCGCGTCAGGGGCCGGCCCGGGCCGCACGCAGGCCCCAGGTACCTCTCCCACCCCGCCCCTACCTGGACTCTGGGCTGCGGTCAGCCGGCTCCGCCTCCTCCCCCTGTGGGCAGGTAGAGGGGGGTTCAATGGGCATAGGAGGGGTTTTAGCGGGTATGGGAGGGGCTTTGCCCGCCCTCCGGCCCACCCTCTGCACCAGCTCGGCCCCACCTGAGCCCCCCTCACCTCCGCAGGCCCCCTCCACTCCTTTCCGACCTTGCGGGGCTCCCTGGCCGCCTGCGGTCCTGGACCCTGCCCGTCAGGCGCCTCTGCTGGGGGAGGGGCAGGAATCAGTCCAGGCACCTCCAGAGACCCCTCTGGGGGCCCGGGTCCCCGGGTCAAGCCCCCAGGAAAGCAGGAAGACTCGGAGAGACGATGATTCCCGGGGAATGACCTCCCCCAGAGAGCAGACCTCACCTCTCTGGGCAGGGCTGTCGGAGTTCTCCACTCCAGGGACGCGGGGCCTCCGGGAAGGGTCCTGTCGGGAGGGGTTGGTGAGTCAGGGGACCAGGACACCCCGCACCACCCCACGCGCCCTCGCTGACCCCTCTCACCAGGCTCTGCGCCAGCTTCTCTGACTCTGGGGCCTTCCCTGCAGACTTCTCTGCCTCCTTCAGGTCTGTCAGAGTCACACCCTGGCAGGGAAAGGGGACAGTCAGGGGATGCTGGGGTCAGGGCCCAGCTCCTCTTTCCTCAGACCCAGGAGTCCAGACTCCATTCCCTCCTCCCTCAGACCCGGGAGTCCAGACCCCCAGCCCCTCCTCCCTCAGACCCAGGAGTCCAGACCCCCAGCCCCTCCTCCCTCAGACCCAGGAGCCCCAGGCCCCCAGTCCCTCCTCCCTCAGACCCAGGAGCCCCAGGCCCCCAGTCCCTCCTCCCTCAGACCCAGGAGTCCAGACCCCCAGCCCCTCCTCCCTCAGACCCAGGAGCCCCAGGCCCCCAGTCCCTCCTCCCTCAGACCCAGGAGTCCAGACCCCCAGCCCCTCCTCCCTCAGACCCAGGAGTCCAGACCCCCAGCCCCTCCTCCCTCAGACCCAGGAGTCCAGACCCCAGCCCACCCCACACCTGCGTGGACCTCCGAGACTGGCGCATGAGACGGGAGCGAGCTTTTCTCTGGGATTCCGACTCCTCATCCCGCACAGGCATCTGGTAGGACCTGAGGGAAGGGTCCCAACCTCAGGGAGGGGCACTGGGGACCCTGCCCCATTCCGTGGCGGACACCCTCCGCGGGAGGCAAGTTCTGTGGGAGGGGACTCCAACTCCCAGCAGACCCGGGGCCAGCCCTCCCTCAGGAGCCCACCCAGAGCCCCGGGACTCCGGCTTGACATAGTCTCTGCTGGCGGGGGCGGGGGCGGGGGCGGGGGCGGGGGCGGCAGCTTCCTGCCCTGGGCTCTGCACCTCCGTCGGTCCCGGGAGTCCGCTGGGGGTGCTGTGGAGGCTGTGGGGGCGTTTGGCTTCGCTGAAGATTCAGACTCCGGAATCCTGGTGGGAGGCGAGGAGTTCTCCAAGCAAGGAGGAGGCTTGGTGACCTCAGACCTGCATCAATTCATTCATTCAACAAACATTACCCAGGTGCATTGTGTGCCGGCACTGGAGATGCAGCCGTCAACAAAAGAAACAAATTATCTGGGCCACCAGAGTCAGAGCTGAGCAGAAATACACAAAACCGACAACAGCCATGAAAAGACCCGCACTCTACCCAACCGGTCAGAAGGGTAAAGCACGCTGGACAGAAGCAGCAGCGCGAGAACTGGGAGCGGAGCGGGAGGGGCGTGTGCCGACGGCGCAGAGGTGGCAGCAGGTGGTCCGTGCGCCTCGGGGTGGGGGATGATGGGGAGAAGGTGACGTTTCAACACAGGCTTGAGGGAGGGAGCCAGCCGCCAGGAGGAACACAGCACAGGCTCTGGCGTGGGAGCAGGAATCAGACCCGGGGGGTACACGGTCCCACTCAGGATCATACGGACAGGCTTGGAACCCACATCTGCCGCCTACCCCCGAGGGGCCCAGGCCTGGGGGACTCACAGGGCAGAGGGCTCCGGCAGCTTCCGGGAGGGGGTCGGGGTAATTCTGGCAAGACGGAGCTCCCTGGCCTGTGTGGAGAGGAGGAGGAAGGGGCAGTTCCCTCAACTGGGCAGGGGCCTGGGCCCGGCCCCGGCCCAACCCTCACTCACCTGGGTGGAGGTCCCTTCCAGCCAGGAGGACGAAGCCGAGCGCTGCAGCCCAGCCCCAGGGGCTCCCTCTGCCATCCGCCTTTCTGGGGGACCCAGGGCACCAGAACTCCCTGTCTTCAGGAGGCCAAAGCGCCTGGAGAAGGGGGCCTCTTCAGGCGGCTGGGAGAAGGAGGAGGTGTCAGGGAGAAAGGATCCCTCTTCTCAGACCTCAAGGGTTAGCCCCCAAAGGACTGCAACAAACTACAATTCCCATCAGCCCCTGGGGCAAGCGCAACCTACAAAGGAAGCCGGTTGTCCAGGAGGACTCTGGGAACTATAGTCTTCACCCTACCTGCCCCTGCCAGAGGTTCACAGGCTTTATGGACTCCCATCTCCCGGCCCTCCCGGCCTCACAGGACCTCTCAGGGCATCCACTCACCACGGGGCTCTTAGGACTGGGGTGCGGTGGGGAGGAGACGCCATTGAGGGTTCTGGGCTCTGCAGGGCGTGGCTCTGTGATGTGGGAACACCGGGTAGGTCACAGAAGATGCCAGCTGCCTCTAGATTCAGAGAACCCGACCCCTCCTCCCTCGGACCCAGGAGTCCAGATTCAGGCTCCTCACCGGCGGGACCTTCTTCCCCCTCATCCTCGTCCTGGATGGGGGGCCCCCCAGCCCCACCAGGCCGGCGCTCCTTGGACAAGTCCTGGAGGGAAATCTTCTCTCGACTGCTCAGACGACACACAGAGCTCCTGTTGGGGAAGGAGAGGGTGCTGGGGTGCAAGCCCGGGGCCTCCAGCCACCCGCCAGCCCCAGACTCCTCCCTCCCTATACCTTCTGTGTCTGCTGCTACAGGGCGCTTGGGGCTCCTGGCCCCGGCTCTGGGAAGCTTCTTTTTGGTTCCGAAGCTGCAAGGAGGGAAGGAGGCTGCAGGGGAGGGGTGGAGCACACGTCCCCCACAGCAACACCACCATGAACAGCTGTCAGGAGCTCAGTGCCCAGGCGGGCACAGAGGGCTCGTGGAAGCGCTTGCTGGTTTTCCTACAGATGGTGGCACACCTCAGAGAGAGGAGATGCCCTGTGTCCAGCAGGCGCCTGCAGCTGCCACATGCAGGCACTGCCCTCTTGTCCTCACGGCCCCCACCCATGAGAAGCCTCCAGTCTCATCCCCAGAGGGGTCCTTCTAGCTCCCAGGGGCGACCTGCTCAGACCTCATCCCGACCCCTCAGCACACCCAGGGCACTGGTAGGCCCTCAGCTGCCCCGGCTTCTGCCGCTGGCACTCGCCTCCTCCTTCCCCACACAGTTCACCACCGTCTTCACACCTTCCCCACAGTTCACCACCGTCTTCACACCCCCACACAGTTCACCACCGTCTTCACACCTTCCCCACACAGTTCACCACCGTCTTCACACCTTCCCCACACAGTTCACCGTCTTCACACCTTCCCCACACAGTTCACCGCCGTCTTCACACCTTCCCCACACAGTTCACCGCCGTCTTCACACCTTCCCCACACAGTTCACCGCCGTCTTCACACCTTCCCCACACAGTTCACTGCCGTCTTCACACCTTCCCCACAGTTCACCACTGTCTTCACACCTTCCCCACACACCGTCTTCACACCTTCCCCACACAGTTCACCGCCGTCTTCACACCTTCCCCACACAGTTCACCGCCGTCTTCACACCTTCCCCACACAGTTCACCGCCATCTTCACACCTTCCCCACACAGTTCACTGCCGTCTTCACACCTTCCCCACAGTTCACCACTGTCTTCACACCTTCCCCACACAGTTCACCACCGTCTTCACACCTTCCCTATACAGTTCACCACCGTCTTCACACCCCCACACAGTTCACCACTGTCTTCACACCTTCCCTATACAGTTCACCACCGTCTTCACACCTTCCCCACACAGTTCAACACCATCTTCACACCTTCCCCACACAGTTCGCCACCGTCTTCACACCTTCCCTACACAGTTCACCGCCGTCTTCACATCTTCCTGTCTTCACACCTTCCCCACAGTTCACCACTGTCTTCACACCTTCCCCACACAGTTCACCACCGTCTTCACACCTTCCCCACAGTTCACCACCATCTTCACACCTGCCCCACACAGTTCGCCACCATCTTCACACCTTCCCCACACAGTTCGCCATCTTCACACCTTCCCCACACAGTTCACCACCGTCTTCACACCTTCCCCACACAGTTCACCACCGTCTTCACACCTTCCCCACACAGTTCACCGCTTCCCCACACAGTTCACCACCGTCTTCACACCTTCCCTATACAGTTCACCACCGTCTTCACACCCCCACACAGTTCACCACTGTCTTCACACCTTCCCTATACAGTTCACCACCGTCTTCACACCTTCCCCACACAGTTCAACACCATCTTCACACCTTCCCCACACAGTTCGCCACCGTCTTTACACCTTCCCCACACAGTTCACCACCGTCTTCACACCTTCCCCACACAGTTCACCGTCTTCACACCTTCCCCACACAGTTCACCACCGTCTTCACACCTTCCCCACACAGTTCACCACCGTCTTCACACCTTCCCCACAGTTCACCATCTTCACACCCCCACACAGTTCACCACCGTCTTCACACCTTCCCCACACAGTTCACCACTGTCTTCACACCCCCACACAGTTCACCACTGTCTTCACATCTTCCCCACACAGTTCACCACCGTCTTCACACCTTCCCCACAGTTCACTGCCGTCTTCACACCTTCCCCACACAGTTCACCGCCATCTTCACACCTTCCCCACACAGTTCACCACCGTCTTCACACCTTCCCTACACAGTTCACCGCCGTCTTCACATCTTCCCCACACAGTTCACCACTGTCTTCACACCTTCCCCACACAGTTCACCACCGTCTTCACACCTTCGGGCCTCTGCATGTGGTGCCCAGGAGTACTGGGAGGGCCCTTCATTCCTGCCCTTCTAGCAAACTCTTAGTGCTGTAGTACTCACGTCTTCTAGAAACTGTCCCCAGATGCTCCCAGGCTGGGCTCCCCTCATATCTGGACCACCTAAGCTGATCCCGCCCCACCCATTAAACCCCCCTTGGCCGTATCACCCTCAGGGCAAAAGTCACCCTGCTCCTCGCCTGGCACTCATGGTCCTCCCGGGTTTGCCCTGCCTTACACTCCCCTCCCTGGGCACCTTAGGGCACCCACACTTGCCCCCCAGACTGTGTGAGACCTTCTTCTCCTACATCCGTCAGCCTCCACCTTGCTCCTGCCAACCTTTCAAAAAAGGAAGCTGTCTCCACTCTGCTGCCCACACACCAGAAGCCCTAGGCCTGGCCTCGGGAGCTTCCTGTCACCCCACAGAGATCACTGAACGCTGGCGTGGCTCTAGTGCTTCCCGTGGCATGTACTCCCGAGCTCTTGACAGCACAATCCACATGTCACACACGACCCCTCATACAGCTGTGCACCATACCATTCCCATTTGACAGATGAGGAAACTGAGGCCTGGAGAGGAAAGTGGCTGGCTGGGACTCACGGCAGATCTATGGCAGAGCCAGGATTCCAACCCAGGCAGTCTGGCCAGGGCTCACGCCCTTCACTCCTTCACTCTAAGTTTTCCCAGCAAGGCTGCCCCGGGGATGGCTGGGGGACACCTTGCGGGTGACCAGCCCAGCCTAAGTCTAGGACAGTCCTGCACATGGCTGCTGCCAAGGGCCACCCTGAGGTGATGAGGTGCGCTGAGCTGGTTTGTTATTTTGTCTGAGTGTCAGACAACCCTGTCCAGATCCTTCTGCTGCCTCCCCACCAGGCAGGTAGGAAGCTCTGCAGCCCCATCTCTATCCTGCCCCAGCTGGGGGTCTCTCCTGAGGCTGGGGCTGGAGCTGGGTCACCAAGCGGGAAAGAGCAGGTCGCTGGGGTGGTGGGTGTCAGAAGTCGGGGTGGGGTACCCCCTCTGCACCCTCCTCTAAGGAGTTGAGGGGACATGGGGAGTCTGGGACAAGCCCCTCAGCCCTAACACTCACGTCTTCCTGTTTCCGGGCCAGTTCCTCCAACAGGCTCAGCACTTCCTCATCAGCCAGGTCACAGGGCCGCTGCCCCTGGGTCAGGGGAGGAGCAGGAGCAGACAATGAAGGAGGCGCTGGGTCCTCCCCGCGCCCTGCCCCCCACCAGCCTGGGCACTGGCCCTCACCGCGTGGGTCAGCGAGTCCATGCCCCCGCCATGCTCGGCCAGCAGGCGGCAGGCATCCTCCACGCCCCAGTGTGCCGCCGCGTGCAGGGGAGTCCAGCCGTCCCCGTCCCGGAGCTCCGGGTCGTAGCCAGCCTGAAGGAGCAACCTGGGGGCCAGGGAGTCTCAGGGTCAGAGGCCAAGGCGAGGCCCTGGGCCGGGGGCTGATTTCGGCCAGTAGTGCGGTAACTGAGGTCCCAGGCCACGAGACTAAAATGCCCCGGACAGGCTGGTAAAGAGCCACTGCCCAGCGTCCCTGGCCACAAGAGGCCCCTTTGCACCAGGCCTTGTCCCTCCCCTTGGACCAGCAGCTACATGTTAAACCCTGGCCCTGCAGGTGGCCTCTGGAACCTGCTCCTGGTGCCGGCAGGGGGTCACCCTGGCTGTGAGATTCCAAGGTGACGGCAGTGCGGTGTAAGGAGGCAGCCCCGGAGGATGCAGGTGCAGGACCCTGTGCCAGCCCCCACGCCTGTCAGAAGGATTGGACCCCAAAGGGCTGTCTCAGGGCAGTAGTGTTCTAGGACCTGGGCTGGCTTAAAGCAGTGACTCCCAACCAGGGCATCTTTGTTGTCATAACCTGGCACAGGGGCTAGTGGCATCGGCTGGGTGGAGGCCAGGGAGGCGGCTCCACACCCAGCAGTGCTCAGCAGCTGCCCCACAAGGAGAAGGATCTGCCCCAAAATGTGGCTAGCGCCCAGGCTGAGAAACCCTCACTCAAGAAATTTTCTGCGAGAAAACAATAACCACCTTAAACCATTCAATTTGAGGGCAAAGGCAGGGTTCCAAGTCCAAGGGCACTCTCCAAGCTCAGCTTAGGGTAGGACGTGTCTATTTTTGGAGAACTGGAATGAGTTTCTGTGTCAATGAGAAAGAGCTTCGCAAAGTGGGAACAGATGGACAGCCTGGGATATTCTACGAAGAAGCCTTATAAGCACAAGTCCCTCTATCTGGCCCCGCCCACCTCGCCCCTCACCTTTCCCACGCTTTGCCCAGAGCTCACCCTGCCCTAGCTGTGCGGCCCCCGCTATTTCCCCAAGCGCCTACCCGCCACAGGCCTCGGCACTTGCTGCTCTCCGTCGGAAGCGCCCACCCCACAGGCCTCTGCACTTGCTGCTCTCCGTCGGAAGCGCCCACCCGCCACAGGCCTCTGCACTTGCTGCTCCCTGTCGGTAGCGCCCACCCCACAGGCCTCGGCACTTGCTGCTCTCCGTTGGAGAGTGTTCTGTGCCCTGCAGCGTCTCACGCCGAGCCCCTTTTTGGCAGTCACCACCCCTTCACCCCCATGTCTCCTGACCCCAAAGCCCCTCCTCATCACACTTGTCTTCTCCCATCACCCTATTTGCATCTTAAGCCAGTGGTTCTCAACTGGGACAATGCGCCCCCCAGGGGACATCTGGGACAATGCGCCCCCCGGGGACATTTGGCCAAGTCCAGAGACATTTTTAGTTCTCACAACCAGGGATGCTCCCGACGTCCCATAGGTAGAGGCCAGAGAGGCTGCCCCACATCCTGTGATGCACGGGACAGCGCTGCAGCAAAGAGCGATCAGTCCAAAATGTCTGTCTCCCCACGAGGTATGAGCCGCACATAGGCCCAGATCTCTCGTTTACCCAGTTCCTTGGCAACTAACAGACTGCCTGGCACACAGCAGGGGCTCAGAAAATAAGCATCGAATCAGTATCATCAAATAAACATATACCTCTACTCTGCAACAAGTGTTTTTGTTTTGTTTTGTTTTGAGATAGAGTCTCACACTGTCGCCCAGGCTGGAGCGCAGTGGCACGATCTCCACTCACTGCAACCTCTGCCTCCTGGGTTCATGCCATTCTCCTGCTTCAGCCTTCCAAGTAGCTGGGACTACAGGCGCCCGCCACCATGCCCAGCTAATTTTTTGTATTTTTAATCGAGACGGGGTTTCACTGTGTTAGCCAGGCTGGTCTTGAACTCCTGACCTCATGATCCCCATGTATCAACCTCCCAAAGTGCTGGGATTACAGGTGTGAGCCACCACGCCCAGCCTGCAACAGATCTTTGATGCGAATGCTGGTTACATTCTTTTAAAAATGCAGTAAGGCTGGGTGCAGTGGCTCATGCCTGTAATTCCAGCACTTTGGGAGGCTGAGGCGGGAAGATCACTTGAGGTCAGGAGTTCGAGACCATCTTGGCCAACTTGGCAAAACCTGTCTCTACCACAAACAAAAAATTAGCCGGGCAGGGTGGCACACACCTGTAATCACAGCTATTCAGGAGGTTGAGGCAGGAGAAGTGCTTGAACCCAGGGGGCAGATGTTGCAGTGAGCTGAGATTGAGCCACTGCACTCCAGCATGCATGACAGAGTGAAACTCCATCTCAAAAATAAAAATAAAAATAAATGGCCATGCTCGGTGGCTCACACCTGTTATCCCAGCACTTTGGGAGGCCGAGGCGGGCGGATCACAAGGTCAGGAGATCGAGACCATCCTGGCTAACACGGTGAAACCCCGTCTCTACTAAAAATACAAAAAAATTAGCCGGGTGTGGTGGCGGGCACCTGTAGTCCCAGCTACTCGGGAGGCTGAGGCAGGAGAATGGCATGAACCCGGGAGATGGAGATTGCAGTGAGTGGAGATCGTGCCACTGCACTCCAGCCTGGGTGACAGAGTGAGACTCTGTCTCAAAATAAATAAATAAATAAATAAAATTTAAAATGCAGTCACTAGATCTGAGTGTAAACATGTACCCTTACAAAGGAGCAGTAATGAAATTATAGTCAGTGAATATTTCTAAGTCCAAAGTGCTTCAGTTCTATGGCAGAGAATGAATGAGGTTGCCCACAAATATGGACTCTATCTCTCCCTTTACTAACAGTACCCACACAGGCCCCCCGGCCGGACACAGGCCACCCAGCTGAAGACAAATCTCCAACTGTCCCTTGCAGCGAGGAGTGGTCATGTGACTAGGGTCTTGGCATTAAGTGGTGCGTGCCACTTGCCGACTGCTCTCTGGAAAGGAGTGGGTGTTTGCTCCTTTGCCCCTCTCTTCCTGCTGGCTGGGATGCAGGTGCAGTGGAGGAGATGCAGCTGCCTCCAGGATTCAGGGGTGGAAGCCATGGGAGGAAAAGGACACGGCCTGCAGGCCTGGGCACATCACCAGGCCCAACCATTCAGTTTCCAGTCCCCCTTGTCGAAAGGATCAGCTCAGGGATGGGCCCAGTCAGCAACAGAGCTGGGACTGGGGCCAGATACGGAGGTCCAGGAGCTCTACTTCAGCAGCAGGTGCTAAGCAGAAGGGACAGCGGTCTGGAGCTGTTAGAGTCATCTTATGTACCTCACTGAGAAAACCTGACTAAAAACTGTCAACGGAGAGGTGAGCAGAGAGAGGGAGGAATTCATGTTAACTTCATTTTTATACTACATAATAAAGTATAAGGTCATGAAAGAGAGAAGAGGGAACTGAAAAAAGAATGAGGAGCCTGAGGATGAGAACTGGAACCAACAGCTTTAATAGAAAGGGGAAAGGCAGCCAAATAGGAACAAAATAAGACCCCAGACTGAGGTGAGGATGACAGAAAGGGAATGTGAACCACAACAATTTAAACTCTACATGCACTTTGGTTGGGCGCAGTGGCTCACGCCTGTAACCCCAGCACTTTGGGAGGCTGAGGCAGGCAGATCACCTGAGGTCAGGAGTTCAAGACCAACCTAGCCAACATAGAGAAACCCCATCTCTACTGAAAATACGAAAGTATTTTCAAGTGTGGTGGCTTACTCTCATAGTCATAGCTACTGGGGAGGCTGAGGCAAGAGAACTGCTTGAACCCAAGAGGCGGAGATTGCAGTGAGCTATGATCACACCACTGCACTCCAACCTAGGTGACAGAGAGCCAGACTCCATCTCAAAAACAAAAATAAACTATATATGTACCAAATAATCCAGTCTTAAAATATATACAAATTGTAACTGACAGAACTATAAGAAGAAACAAAGTCCATAATCATAGCAAGAATTTAAACGCACCTCTCATAGTAACTGACAGAATAAGCAGCGGGGGAAATATCACTACAGATAAAGAAGCACTACAAATAAAACAGCATGATGACAAGGCTGACCTAATAACCTACAGAGAACACTGTACTTGACGACGCCATTCTTTTCCAACTTACATATACTGGGGTATATAAGGCAAAACAATACATTTCAAAAGCTAGAATCATATAGAACCCATTCTGTGACCACAATGCAATTAAGCCAGGAAAATGGTAACAAAATGATGACTAGAGAAGTCCTGTATATTCTGAAATTAGGCCAAGCACAGTGGTTCACACCTGCAATCCCAGCACTTTGGGAGGCTGAGGTAGGTAGATCACTTGAGCCCAGGAGTTTGAGACAAGCCTGGGCAACATGGTGAAACCCTGTCTCTACAAAAACTAGCGGGGCATGGTGGTGCGCACCTGTACTCCCCACAATTCAGGAGGCTGAGGTAGGAGGATCACCTGAGCCTGGGGAGTTTGAGGCTGCAGTGAGCCACGATTGCGCCACTGCACTCCAGCCTGGGCGATACAGCAAGACCCTGTCTTAAAATAAATAAATAATATTAAAAATTGGGAAATATTTTACACGGAATGACAATTAAAAAAAGACCGCACATCAAAACTTGTGGGTACAGCTAAGGCTGTTATTTACAGGGAAATACACAGTCTTCGGTACATACGTTTAAAAAGAAAGGGAGAGGACAGGATCCACAAGAAGGTATAAGACAGCAGGATGGAACACACCGGCCCGACTCACCTCATCACCTCAATGTAGCCCTTGGCAGCAGCCACGTGCAGGGCAGAGGCGCCTGTGCGGGGGTGCCGGGCCTCTGGCATGGCGCCCCCATTCAGCCAGCACCTTGTGTCATGAAGCAGCAATTCCTCCTCCGCCCGCTTGGCTGCCTCCACGTCCACACCTAGGAGGAGAAGAGGCACGAGGTAGGACTCACATCCCACGACCTGGAATACCCAGGGTTATACACTGGGCTGGCCGGGGTTCGGCCCTGTGACTTGCCCAGAGCTTTCACGGCTGCTCCCCTCTGAAACGTGGGAGGCCTAGACTAGCCCAGTTGTTTCCCAACTGTGCTCCACGCAGTCACGTGTCCCACTCAGGGTCTCCGAGTCAGCGCTAAGCACTGGGAAAATGGAGATCACAGGCCTTTCTCCATCTCAACCAGAAAGTCACCTTACTTTTATTATTTTTAATATAAAACCATGGCTGGATGCAGTGGCTCACGCCTGTAATCCCAGCAACTTTAAGAGGCCAAGGCAGGTGGATCACGAGCTCAGGACTTCAAGACCAGCCTGGCCAACACAGTGAAACTCCATCTCTACTAAAATTACCAAAAAAAAAAAAAAAAAAAATGTAGCCGGATGTGGTGGTGGGCGCCTGTAGTCCCAGCTACTTGGGAGGCTGAGGCAGGAGAATCGCCTGAACCCAGGAGTCGGAGGTTGCAGTGAGCCGAGATTACGCCACTGTACTCCAGCCTGGGCGACACAGCAAGACTCTAAAAAAAAAAAAACCATATATATATACACACACACATACACACACACACAATCTCCTATATATATACACTATACATATATTTCCCATATACATAACATATATATATATAAACCTGAAGTTTACTGAGCAAATCCAGTGCTCAATTACATCTAACTTTTCCTGTCACTCCCAATATAACTTTTTTTTTTTTTTTTGGGAGCCAGTGTCTTACTCTGTCACCCAGGCTGGAGTGCAGTGGCACAATCTCACTGCAACTTCCACCTCCAAGATTCAAGAGATCCTCCTGCCTCAGCCTCCCAAGTAACTGGGATTACAGGCATAAGTCACCATGCTGAGCTAATTTTGGTATTTTTAGAAGAGACAGGGCTTCAACACATTGGGCAGGCTGGTCTCGAACTCCTGACCTCAGGTGATCTGCCCGCCTTGGTCTCCCAAAGTGCTGGGATTACAGGCATGAGCTGTTGTGCCGCCACCCAATATAATCTTAATCCAGCATCTTCATACATTTTATCACCATTACCACTTTTCTCATGAGGAGAATAAACCAAGCAAAAAGCCACTAAATGAAGGCCTTGTGCCATTAGTGCAACAGCTCCTTTCCTACCCAGGTGTTCCACCCGTTTGCAAACATGCTACCACCTACAGCAATCTGGGAAAAACATGCTTCCCAACCAGTCAATTTCACGTACTCCAATTGTTGCTTCCCAACCAGTCAATTTCATGTACTCCAATTGCTGCACTGTATTATAGACGTAAAAGGCAAGTAATGACCTAAAATTAAATATAAGTTGATTTTGGATCAAAACAGGTACCCTTGTTGAGGCTGAAATCGTATCTACTGACAGCCTCTGAGGATACTTATTATTTTGCATGCTATAAACTCTCTTTTTTTTTTTTTTGGAGACAGGGTCTCACTGCAACCTCTGCCTACCGAGTTTAAGTGATTCTCCTGCCTCAGCTTCCCAAGTAGCTAGGATTACAGGCGCCTGCCACCATGTCCAGCTAATTTTTGCATTTCTAGCAGAAACAGGGTTTCATCATGTTGGTCAGGCTGGTCTCAAACTCCTGACCTCAGGTGATCCACCTGCCTCAGTCTCCCAAAGTGCCAGGATTACAGGTGTGAGCCCCTGCACCCAGTCTTTTTTTTTTTTTCCAAAGAATAAACAGAGATGGAGTCTCAATATCTTGCCCAGGCTGGTCTCAATCTCCTGGGCTCAAGCAATCCTCCTACCTTAGCCTCCCGAAGTGCTGGGATCACAGCGTGAGCCACTGTGTCTGGCCAAACGTTTTTTTTTTTAAACAGTCAGGGCCTCACTCTGTCACCCAGGGTGGAGTGCAGTGGCGTAATCACAGCTCACTGCAGCCTCCATCTGCTGGGTTTAAGTCATCCTCCCACTTTAGCCTCCCAAGTAGCTAGAACTACAGACACATGCCACTACGCCTGGCTAGTTATTTTTATTATTTTTATTTTTTATTTTTATTTTTTGAGACGGCGTCTCGCTCTGTCGCCCAGACTGGAGTGCAGTGGCCGGATCTCAGCTCACTGCAAGCTCCGCCTCCCGGGTTTACGCCATTCTCCTGCCTCAGCCTCCGGAGTAGCTGGGACTACAGGTGCCACCACGCCTGGCTAGTTTTTTTTTTTTTTTGTATTTTTAGCCAGGATGGTCTCGATCTCCTGACCTCGTGATCCGCCCGTCTCGGCCTCCCAAAGTGCTGGGATTACAGGCTTGAGCCACCGCGCCCAGCCGTTACTTTTATTTTTTATAGAGATGAGGGAGGTAGGGGTCTCCTGATTTTGACCAGGCTGGTCGCAAACTCCTGCCCTCAAGCAGTTCTTTTTTGTTTTGTTTTTGAGGCGGAGTCTCGCTCTGTCACCCAGGCTGGAGTGCAGTGGCACGATCTCGACTCACTGTAAGCTCCGCCTCCCGGGTTCAAGCGGTTCTCCTGCCTCAGCGTCTTGAGTAGCTGGGACTCTAGGCGCCGCCACCACGCCCGGCTAATTTATTTTTGTATTTTTAGTAGAGATGGGGTTTCACCATGTTGGTCAGGCTGGTCTTGAAGAACTCCTGACCTCGTGATCCGCCCGCCTTGGCCTCCCAAAGTGCTGGGATTACAGGCGTGAGCCACCGCATCTGATCCCCCTCTTTTTTTGGAGACAGGATCTCACACTGTCAACCAGGCTGGAGTGCAGTGGTGCAATTATGGCTCACTGAAGCCTCGAATTCCCAGGCTCAAGGGATCCTCCTGCCTTGGCCTCCCAAAGTGCTGGGATTACAGGCATGAGCCACCGAGCCTGGCTGTGTCATTTCTGTAAAGGAGTCGCCAACGGTTCAATCCTATTATGGCCGGATGGGTCTCAATTCAGGGACGGGGAGGGAGGGTGACTGGCTTTTTACTCAACCACGGTCAGCACCCTCTGCATGTCTGCTGCACATCCTCTGCGATTTGCTTTTTGTGCTCAACATGTTGCTGAGATCTGTCTGTAGCTGTAGACAGAGCCCTTGACCAGGGGTCAGCAAGCTATAGCTTGTGGGTGCTCACCACCTGTTGTGTTTTATCTTTTGTTGTGGTGGCAGTGGTAAAATAGACAACATAAAATGTATCAATTTCCCTGTTTTAAAGTGCACAATTCAGTGGCATTTAGGATACCTCCAACATTGTGCAACCATCACCACTATCTACTTCCTGAGCTTTTTCATGATCCCCAATGAATATTGTATCCAAGAAGTCACTCCCAGCCAGGCACCATGGCTCATGCCTGTAATCCCAGCACTTTGGGAGGCCAAGATGGGAGATCACTTGAGCCCACTAGTCTGAGAACAGCCTGGGCAACACAGGGAGACCCTGTCTCTAGAAAAATAAAACTGGCTGGGTGTGGTGGTGCACACCTATGGTCTCAGCTACTTGGGAGGCTGAGGTGGGAGGATCACTTGGGCACAGGAGGTCAAGGCTGCAGTAAGCCATTATCACTCCACTACACTCCAGCCTGGGAGGCAGAATGAGATCCTGTCTTTAAAAAAAAAATGTCACTTCTCAGACCTCCCTCCCCCCAGCCCCTTGCACCCAGTAATCTTTCTGTCTCCATGGATTTGCCTATTCTGAAAGGCAATTTTTGTCAATAAAAGTGGAACGGGACACAGTCACTCCCATTCACTCATACACCATCCCTGGCAGTGTCCCCTCCACAGCACTGGTGGCACAGTGGTGCCAGGGACGGAACAGTCACTCCCATTCACTCACACACCGTCCCTGGCAGTGTCCCCTCCACAGCACTGGTAGAACAGTGGTGCCAGGGACGGTGTGTCCTGCAACACCTCAAACATTCACTGTCTAGCCCTTTATAGAGAAAGTTTGCTGACCCCTGCTTAGATCACTCATTTAGTTTAGTGATTGATCCATTCTCTCTTTAGTGTGGGCTCCAACCTCTTACTACTGCACACAATACTACGATGAACTTTTGTCCACGGGCGGGGAGGCCTCTCTCAGGTTGCCCAGGAGTGGAACTGCTAGAACAAGGCAAAGATGGGGCCTTCGGCTATAATCGATGCCGATCAACCATTTCCCAAAGTAGCTGTAATCATCGCCTTTCCCACCAGGCAGAAAGCAGCTCCCATGTCCGCCCTTGTCAGCACTTGGAGCGAACCAATGGTCAGTTCTGCCTGCCTCCAAGTGTAACGCCCCCTCGTCCAGCTGACTCGGATGTTGGGATTCCAAGAGAGTTGGCGTCAAATGCTTCAAAAACATCATGTCTCATTCCCACCAGTTCCATGCCCCTGTGCAAAGTGGCCAGGGAGGGTCCCTTCTGTGTAGGACATGGTACTGCTGTGTCCCTGCAGCACAGCTGCTGCTCGGGCCTAAAAAATCCATTCTCCCTTCCCCTGTGACCTCATCTTGACTTTCCTCACCCACACTTTGCCCCACATGGTTTCAGTGTGACTGGGCCCACAGCCTGGCTCCCGGGTGGGCACATCACCAGGACTTCCTGTCACCTTTGCAACACTGGTGGGCTCAGGAGCTGCCATCTGACCGGGGTGGCCCCGTGAGCATCACGCACTGGGAAAGAGGCGCTGTGTTTTGGCTGCGATATGGGCTTGCAGTTAGGACCCACACTGAGTGCCTTATGGAGAGAACCTGCCTAAGAGTGAAGCCAGCACGGAGTGCAGCAGAGTGACGGAGAGACGTTCTGGACTTCACTTGTGCCCCTGGATCAAACTATGCCTGAAGTCCATAGAACTCATGGACTTCAGCTACATAAGGCCATAGACTGCCTTTAAAAAAAAAAATATATATATATATATATATATATATGACCAGGCACTGTGGCTCATGCCTGTAATCCCAGCACTTTGGGTGGCCGAGGCGGGAGGATCACCTGAGGTCGGGAGTTCAAAACCAAACTGGCCAACA